TCCTTTTCTCCCTCCTCTCCCCCGCTCCTCCCCCCCCCCCCTCACCCCGTCCCGCCGGCGCCCCCACCTTGGCCGCGGCGCTGCCCAGCGCGGCGCGGAGGCCGCTGCCCCGGAGTCCGGCCGACGCCCGCCCGCAGATCACGGAGGCCGCCATGGCCGAGCGCCTTCGCCCTCAGCTGCCCCTCTCAGCGCGCATGCGCCACCACCGAGAACGGCGCAGGGCGGAGGAAGAGCGCCTCCTCCTCAATAACAAGCGCCCGACGAGGACTCTATGCTCTGCCGGCTGTGTCGCCCCCTGGCGGGGAGGACTGGGCGGCGGAGCCGGCCTCCCGCCTCGGTGCCAGGGGGACGCGGGGGAGCAGGTCAACCCGCAAGGTTGTATTCGCTCCCCCACGCCCAAACCGTGTTTTTGGGCGTCTTCGTCAATAAGGCAAATAAATCACTCGCCAAACTGGAGACCCAATGTTTACACGGAATTATTTCAAAAGCCATGTTTACTCCCCCATTCCACCAGGCTAAAAAATACAGGTTAAAAAAAAAATTATGCCTGAGGTGTGTGTCTGCTTTTGCAAATTAGTGTGCACTGAAAGACCTGGGTGAACCTGAGTCATTTCATCAACTAACTAATGCAGAGGCCAGGACTCTCTTCACGACCAGTTTGTGAGTCATAAGGGAAAAGAAAAAAAAAATATTTAGAAGAAAATAGATTAGTGGCCTGGGAAGTCTGCATGAGAAAAGTCCTCTACTGACAGTAAATAAGCAGGCGTAATGCAGTTATTTCCATATGTAATGATTTTCAAAGGTAGATTTAATCTTAAGGTAAGCAATGCAAGAGTTGTAATCTTAACAGGGTTTGTAATTGAAATCACACAATACCTGAACTGGTTGGGTTGCATTTTTTGTCCTGAAACTGGAAGTGTGCTCAAACAGCTTTCCTTTAGGCAAGAACTGCAAAAGACACAATAACTAGAGTTCAGTTACTTCACTCCAGGGCCTCTGCTGTCTGGGATATGCCGTTATTACCTGCTAGCTTTGCAGTGGGCTCAGCAGGGCGCTGAAATCAGCACCAGGCCTGTTGAGGTGTCCCAGGCATGAGTACAAACCGCAAAGTTTTGAGAGACCCTCCCAAAGTTTCCACTGCAGTTGGTAAAATCTGCGACATTTCCTCAGTACACAACATTTTTCTTCCAAAAGAAAAAAATCAGCTCTGCATTTTTCCTCTATCAAAATACCTCTCAGATCGCCAGACCTGCTTGGGGCTCCTTCATGCTGTAGGACTTAGATGTCATTCCCTCATACAAGCTCCAGGAAATTCCATAACTCCTACTAGGAATCCTATCAGGAGGCTACCTACCTATGAAGAGCTTCTTCCAAACTTTTTTCTCCCCCTGGAAAGGAGAAAAAAAAAAAAAAAGAGCATGTAGCAATGCCACAAAGTGACACAGACAGTATAAGGGTTTGGCAAAACGTGTAACACCTAGAGGAACCCGCATGTAGAGAGACCAGTACTGAATGGAGCCCTGAAGCGGCGCTTACCTCCTGCCTTGGTTGCTACTGCAGGAGACTCAGACGAGTCTCTCCGTGCTGGTAATTCATTCTTGCCTTTGAAAAGCGTTATTAGACGCTCAGAGTACAATTACTATATATAATGATGATGATTATTGCTTTTGCTAGGATTGTAAAGTGGACTTATCCTTCCAGTTATATTAAGATGGAAATAAAAGTTTTTAAGTATTTATTTCATACATCAAAAGAAGCAATGTTATATTTTCTTGCAATACTAAAGGATTTCTATAAAGATCCTGGCAGCTGCTGCCGTTTTCTATAGTGTGATAAACAGCTGCATGGAGAGATCTAATTATTTGGATGTCTGTTTTCCTTGACAGCTCTGAGATCTGATCTAACCAAGATTTATTCCAAGAATGCATGGATTTGTGTCCTTGTTTTCTGCCTGGCCACCAGTGCCACCGTCTGGCCCATATCGCCAGTACAGGATGGGCTGGAGTTACGCAACTCAAACCATAAAAACACCAGTCCTGGAAATTACAAAGATGCCTTTCCCTTGTTTCCGTTCACAGGGAAAGATCATGAGCTTGGTGACAACCAGGTGAACTCCTTGTAAATCCAGTTAAAGTAATTCAGATTTGCACAAGCTCAGCAAATCTGAATTTGCTGAGCTCCAATGCTTGGTCCATGCCCAGGGAGAATGTACAGTCTCAGGAAAGGTGAATGCACTGGAGGCTGTGATAGATATCCATGTGTTTGGCCACATCCTCAGGAAATAAATAAATATATAAATAAAAATTTTAAAAAGATAGCAATTGATTCCTTGCTTTTTATTCTATGTTTAAAATGCTGAGATTTCTTGCTAAACTCAGAAAGAATAAGGATTTTTGACACCAGACTAAGGCGCTCATATGCCCTTTCTGAAGGTACCCTGAAGCGATAAGGAAGGGGAAATCCAAGCTGTAAGTGAAGCAGAAAGAGCACAGAAGTGATAGCAGAGGTCCAGCTGTTACTCATATGCCCTTTCTGAAGCTGTAAGTGAAGCAGAAAGAACCCAGAAGTGATAGCAGAGGTCCAGCTGTTTGAGACCAAATAATTTGTGTCGGGTGTTATGAACTACACATGACTGCTTTACTATGGACTTACTCCATCTACATGTAGCCGTGTTTGATACCTTCCAGGTCTCCCCTGGATGCATCACTGGTGCCCACATGGAAGAGCAGCAGGGAGCGATAGCCCAAGGACAGGACAAGCCTCAGCAACCACAAGGTGCTGATCGAGATGGCTTTTTGTCCTGAGTTAATAGAGCTGCTTCCATCTGCTTCTGTCCCCGAGTGCCCTGGCACTGAGCACACACAGGAGGTTTATAGCAGCGAGGAGGCAATCAGTCTTTGTCAATCTCAGAGTTGCCCAAGGTCACTTAAAAGTTAATGGCGGAGCTGGAAATAAAGCATGGAGCTGTATCACCACCTACAGTCGCTCTGATGAATCCAATCTGTTCACACCAGAGCAAGGAAATAGCGGACAAGCAATGAAGACACCTTCTCCCAATACAGCTCAGCTCCAACTCACCCGTACTACTTTATTGCTCTTGTATAAGCCTACCACTGGTCGCTACGAACCGTTGCAAAGACTGTGACCACAGCTGGGAGAGGAGCACACCTCAGTGAAAAAGGGTGCTCTTAATGGAAGCAGATACAAGTAATACCAGCACTAGTGTAAAACAAGAAAATTCTGGTCTCAAAAAGCACAAGTTTGTGATAGTCAGTGAGGGTTATACGAATCAACTTTTACTTTCCTCAGCTAGGCCCTTTCTAAAGTACAATATTAAAAGCAAGGCTTTTCTGTTCTGTGAAAAGGAATGATAGCACAGAAAATCTTAACAGCTCTCATAAAATCTACTACAAAAAGGTAATCAAAGAAACCAATTTGGCATTTAATGTAAAGGCAGGATTGTACAGAGCTATGCAGAACGTACATTTATAATAAAGGTAAGGTCAAGGCATAGGCAAAGGTAAAATAAGTAGACTAATTTGCACATTTTCCTTTCTGTAACTTGGAAGTTCTTTCTTAAGTAGAAAGAAATGTTTCGGTTGGAGGTGGCAGGTTTTTATTTCTTTCCATTATTCAGTATTCTCCATGATCCAATCCTGGTCTCTTCATCAAACCACTAGTTACGCTGACTGACAGGCCTGTGGCAACCTGAAGACACTGAGAGACACCACCTGTATTTTGTCCACAGGTTTCCTATCAAAGACGTTCTCTAGCATTATCCAATTTTACAGCTCTAGGAAAGGAAGAGACCAAGTTCAGAAGAAAAGTCTGGAAGGGAAGTCAGGCCATGGAGGGCCTAACCAGTGACCCAGCCAAGCAAAACCTTCCGTCTTTTCTTTCTACTTCTCTTCCAATAGCAGTTCTATTTATGTAGGGACTGCCATACACACAAATAGAACAAATTAAATGTGCATTGTCAAGCATATAACTTTGTAAGCTTATTAGTATAATAATGTATCCTCAGTGCAGTTTCATAAGACAGCAAGATTGAGGGAAAAAAAAAAAGAAAAAAAATCAGTCAGGGGGTTATATCATCACTAAAGAAGGAGATAGAACAGCAAGATTGAGGGAAAAAATAAAGGAAAAAAAAATCAGTCACGGGGTTATATCATCACTAAAGAAGGAGAAAGCTGTAGATAACAAAGTTCTCCTAATTACGATCTTTTCTAATTTTAATAGTACTTTAGATCTATTTATATGGTTAACTCAGGGACCACAGGAGCATAGAGTAGACTGGGCAACTTCATGAAAAAGACACATAACTGAACTACAGCTCAGTATCAATAAAAAGCAGCCAAGCAGAAAACGGGGACAAGGTCCTGCCTTACAGGTGACCATGCAGCATCCTACCATGGTAAAAAGGCCTGGATTTTCTCCCAGAAATATGGAGACCAGATACCCTTTTGCATCTCGGAGGCAGTCGCTGACAGCTTCCTGGACCACGTCCCAGTTTTCGTTACTGTGTGAGCAGGTCCTGACTGAGCACTCACTCCTGAAGGTGCCTCAAACTCATCTGCCTGCACTGACAAGTCCTCTATTCTTCACAGTGAAGAAAAACCACATCCCAGTCCCAGATGAGAGCATCTCAAGGAGAAAACAGTGTGTACATTTAAACTGGAGGGACTGGAGGGCACGTGGTGAAGGGAAGTACAAAGAGAAGATCAGTAAAACTTTGAAATGTTCTGCGTACAAGTGGCACAGGGATTTAGTGAGACTGATGCGAGCAGATTTTCCATCCTCTAACCACTGAACCTCATTTTCATTCCGGAAGAGCTTTGGATTTTGTTTTTCTAGGAGGGTTTCTCCTAGACAGGAACTGTTCTATTTTAAAACAGACTTTGTTATCTCCTTCCCCTTTGTGCATCCCTAAAAGCAACCCTATAACTGACTTAACTTCCTTTTGGGGAAGTTAATTTAAGAAAAATTCAGTAATTTAAGAAAATTCATTTGTACAGCCAAGTTAAAGCTTACACGCTTTGCAGGAAGTAACATTCATGCATGCTTTCAGAATGCCAGCACTCCTGTTATCTATTCCACATACACATTAGGGGCAAGTCAGACACCTCAAACTGGACTCTTATTTTGCAGTCCAATCCCTTGTTTCTGCAGCATATGTCTGCAATAACCCAGGAGTACTGTGACATCT